ATAATAAGATAACACTATTTAGTGTTATTTATAGTGTTTGTACTCTACACGTACATGAAGATCGGAGAAGGGCTTTTGATGATTCAACCAAAGCCTTTTAGCTTAAAATATAATCAAACTTCGAAGTATTATACCGATAAACGGGTAATAATATCCATGAGAATGTTTAGGGAGAAGATTGACTGCTATTAGGTTAGCGCGCATGATTTGATGTTATAAGGGAAACAAATAATGACGGAACTTGTAGACGAAGAAATTGTACGAAAAATTCTGCCACCTCGTAGATAATTTCCTTACATGCTCTGAGCCAGCAAGAAATAAGAATCAACCAATCAGTGAGGGGAACGTTATGTTTGTAGGTCCAAGTTTTTTTCTTGTTTATAAACTGAGAAAGAGTAGGTTTAAAATGAAAATTGATTCCACGGAAATGGCGCTATATAAATGTTTATTTATTTTTGTTATTATAAAAATAAATCCTTTCTGAGGAAAAAGCTCATTAAAGTATGTTGTCTTTATTCAAAATTGGCTGAGAATGCATTGCGGGACTAGATTTGGAATGGCTTGTAAGACATCGTGAGCCCCTAGATTAAGAACTAGCCGATTTTACTACAGACTTAGATCACTCGGACGGGTATAAGTGAGAATCGAAATGTTTTATTTTGTCTAAAAAATGATGTCTCAATATACACACATATCAAGGAAGTATGTCATAAACTGAAAACAGAAGCAAGCCCATAAGACAAATACTGACAAGCGAGGAAGCTTTGAAGGAAGTTGTAAAAAATGAAGTCGTGCTGAGCCTACAGGGATGTAAACACACTAATGAATCAAATTTTACTCGACTCGAACCTCCGATATCGAGTGAATTAGCTGATTTTGTACCCGTAAGACATAGACTAGCTGCGAAGCCTACCACCTCATTAACAGAAACGACTATATAAACCTACGAAGTCTGTTGCAATTAAAATTATCTAGAAATATTGATGAACATTTTAAATGTTTTGGTAAAAACAAGATTTTTTAAAAAGATTAAACAGCTTGGAAGATATAACAATAGATAATTCTGTAGCAGACACGGTGAAGCTAAAATTTGTCAACAAAATCCCTTGCCTCACGCATGGTGATATTTTTACAATACGACTATCTTTCCCCTTTGGAGGCTTCCGCCATTAAAACTATATTTACAAGAACAGTAGTTTGAATATAAATAAGCCGTCCTAGCCCTGCCGCGGAAATTATAGCAAGCCGAAAATAAGAATTAAAAAATAAGCCGTTAATGTTGGAGACTAGAATCCTTTTTGTGCCAAATTTCCTGGAAAGGGTAGTATCCTTTTTCACAGAGTACGATAGTCCTAGAGCTGCTATTGTCAACTATTCCTAGTAAAATAAAACTTAAGTCAAACAAGTTCTTTGAAATGATCTCCAGTGTCTCTAGAAGGATTACTTAAATAACGTCTATATGCGAAGTTATTTCAGGTGAGTTAACCTTGAATCTGATTGGCTAGCTGGATAAGTCCAAGATGGTGATTGGCCGAAGGGAGTATTGATTTAACCAATCAGTTGTAAGGAGAAAGTAAAAGGGTTTTTGCTTATATAAAATAGAACGTCGTCTGTCGTTTCATCATATTTTATCGGACTAAAACTGGTCTCTTCAATGGAAACACGTTTGAGCCTGAAGCAACAAACTTACAAAACAAATACAAATTTCACCATGAAGGTAAATAATTTTTCTCTGATCTCCTAAAAATATAATTTCTATATGCCTAAATTTTCAAGACATAATGAATAATTTGACCAATTTCAATTTATCTTTAGTATGGGTTTTTTAAAATCAGATATTTTGTAACTTCCAGAATCTGAATAATATGGGTTTTATAACTGCCCTCATCTCTAAAGAACTCATTTTGAATTACATTCACTTTAAATTGAAAACTGTCGAACATTTAGTCGAATTTCAACTGCTGTTTGTGGATTATTTGCACTAAAAATTCAATTATAATTATAGAGAATATGTCTCCGAAACGTCCATCCTGTAAAGCGAAAACTAATATTTATTTCAATAATGTAATATATATATATTTTATATATTTTTTAATTATACTTTTCCCCCGTTGTAATCTAATCCATCAAACTCTCTTTTAGTTTGAGAAGGAATATATCTTAGTTACTTTTTGCGTGCTTGGGTTTTTTAAATTCGGCACTGAATAGTATAAATAATTTACATTGTGGTTTGTTTTCAGTTGTCGTGTTGATTTAAAAATACTGTACTCTGGCGTTTCTAATGCCTACTCTTATGCGTAACTTGTAATTCTGAATTAATTAGATCAATATTAGGAATTGACAATTTTATTTTGCACCCATAACGAGAGAGGGTTGACAACATTAAAAAGAGGATAAATGGATGAAATTTGGCATCGAATCAAAAAGATAAGCTTAAAAATACTTGTCAAGCAGTATTGATGGCAACTCAGCCTTGTTTTTCAAATAATTTACCTTAGTCCTATTCAATTTGCATCGAAGTGGTTTGCATTGGAGGCGAGCTAATGAACAATTGCTTTTCCTAATAATGGCATATATTTCCTATATTGAAGATAAGTTAAGATTGGCGTCAATAAAGTACTATTTGCTTATGAATATGAAGCAGGTGTACGTCATTTTTATTGCTTTTTCTAGGAGTTTTACGCTTCCGATAGAGCTTCGGATTATCCACTATAGTCTAAAAACACAACACCGATTCCATTGTCTAGAGCTTCATTACTCCAAAATCTCATTTTGTTGTCCGAACAGATTTCTCGACAATACAGAATGCTATTCAGTTTCACACGCTGAGCTTAAGGTCTTTCACAAGTATGGGAATCTAGGACTGTTTGAAACCTTTGAAGCAAAGCCGTCTGTTATTGACGAAAAGAAACTGCACTCTTGAAGGAGTGACGTTCATCTTGTCCACCTAACCTTCAGTACCATAACGACAGATTATAAGCTTAAGACTTATCTTTACAATAGTTTCACAACAATACATTAAACTAACCTACCTTAAATACTTCTGAAAAATACGAAAATCTCAGTCTTAAGTAAATGAAATAAGGATTCACTACTTCGTATTTTAGTGCTTTTTAAAACTACTCAAGATTGTTTTTAAATTACATGATTGACAAAAAGAAATTAGAAAATATACTTTCTACTTGTCAACCATTTGGTTTTATCTAGAAAGGATATCAAAGAAGTACATTGCGCGCTGTCGGGTAGTTTGTTGGATGTTTTTTATAAACGTGTCAAACTGATTAAAAAAAAAAAACAAATAAAAAAAAAACAAAAAAAAAAAACGATGGTTGGTGTTGCGCGCAGTATAGTGCACTAGCTTATCACCTCTGAAGCTTCGGGGTGGATTCCTGGACTAAGTCAGATTTTGAGTTGAGTTTGATAGATATCCCCCTTGATTTGAAGAATATTATCTGGGTTCTCGGGTTTTGTTCCATCTAGAAAACCAAACAAGCTAAATTCGAATTCGATCTGTAAGTTAGCCATGGCCTGACTTAGATCAGCCCAGAGGTTGTTTCAGGGATCAATCTGTGAGTTAGCCATGCCTGGACTTTGATCAGCCCAGAGGTTGTTTCAGGGTTTGATCTGTTAGTTAGCCGTGCCTGGACTTTGATCAGCCCAGAGGTTGTTTCAGGGT